GGCCCCGCCAGGCCAGGAGGGCCAGGCGAGCCGTGCCGCGCCAAGTGATCCGAGACGGAAGCGGCGGGCACGGCGGCACGGCACGCGTTGGGCGCGCGGCCTGCACGCGGCCCGCGCGGCACCTCCGCCCTCCAGGTATCTGTTGCGTGGGGACTCCAGGGACTGACGGGGACGCCAAGGCAGCGCCAAGGCAGCGCCACCCACCCCAGCCACAGACCGGCGACCCTTGGCTTCATCATCGTGGCGACCACCGGCCATCCATCTCATCTATCCATCGCACCTCTGAGGGCACTGGAGGCACTATGGCCCCTCCGGGCGAGTTGGAATTTGAACCGGCCAGCTGCCGGGGCCGTGGGGCCGCACAGTGGGCCAGAAGACCGGTGGAGGCGGCCAAACTTCTCGATGCGTTTTGAGCTCCAGAGTCGCTAAATGGGACTCGAACCGAACGTGTGACCCCACCAATGGATTGCTCTCCGAACGAGGAATCCATTGGTGGGGTCACACGGTTGGTTCTAGTCTTGTTTAGCGACTCTGGAGCTCAAAACGCGTATTTTGGCCGCCTCCACCGGTCCTCTGGCCCACTGTGGGGCGCATCGCTGTACAGGGCCGTGCCGCCACAGTGTGCCACGGTGCGGTGCCGCCGGGCCCACACCATTGAGGCCGCCATTCAGGTGGTCACGTCCCAGCTAAGGCCTGCAAGGCCGTGGAGGTGGAGGCCGGGGCGCAGCTCGCCCGCAAACGTTTGGCGCGCCCAGAGAACACGGACAAGACGGACAGACAGACAGATGGCGTGCATGGACATTATTGGGTCACTGTAATGCGATGCATGGAGTGCTACAGTGCAGTGGCTGCGCAACGAGTGGCCCGATCTGCGTCACTGCCGCCGTCTGCGTCACCAGAGCAAAGCAAAAACGCCAACAAGGCCGCGGCATTACACACAATGTAGTATAGCGAGCATGACACCTTCCGCGATAAACTCGTGCAAACCGGGAATTTTTAAAAAAATGTTTGAGAATGGACCGGAAGTACTCGGTACTACCCGCATTCCGAGCGAATGTTTTGTTTGGCCGAGCAGAATAACTGCACGGCTGTCGAGTGGCGTGGATCTGCATCGGACAGCGCAGCGCAGCAAGGCAGCATGGCGCAGCAGTGTGCCGAGTCACCGTTCGTGATTTGGGTACGGGGAACAGAATACATCACGAGATGCGATCAGGTGCAATGGCGACAAAGGCACGAGAGAGAGAGAGAGAGAGAGAGAGAGAGAGAGAGAGAGAGAGAGAGAGAGAGAGAGAGAGAGAGAGAGAGAGAGAGAGAGAGAAGGTGAAGAAAAAAATGGCCATCGTGCCATCCCTGTGAGTGCATCCCCTCGCGAACCATCCCCACATGCAAATGAGTCGATCAGCTGTCGGGGACAAAGGGACACCTCCTCGGTGCACTGTGCGTCGCCAGTGGCGTGCCACGCCGTGCCGGGGTCATGGGAAAAATAGCACCGGGATGCACGCATGCAGAATGGCTCCAATAAAGAAAAAAAGGCAATACGAGGAAAAAAGACGACAAAAAAACTACGTATGGTAAAGAGTGGGGGGAGAGGGGCATCGGCTGTGCCTCGCTGTGCTTCGCTGTGCTGCGTGACGGGCCGACCAGTGACCACGCAATGAGTCTTAATTTGTATACTTCCAAAGGGAAATAACACGATTCCGAAACAACAAGTTATTCAATCGAGAGAAAGAAATAACGAGAAAAACACAGTAATGATGAAGAAAAGGAAGGGAATATTCATGCGAGCCTGTCGTGCGATAAGGACAGCAACGGTAAAGCGACGACTGGCCACCTGAATGCGCCCCGCGCACTGCACTTACGGACAATCTCTGCTGGGGAAAAAAATGTTGCCCTTTTCTCAACCAGGTGAGTTTTCGACACTGAAATTTCGATAAAAATTAAAATTGAGTGCTGGCTCTGCACTTGATTTTACGACTGTGAGTGGGAGTGAGTGAGTGAGTGAGTGAGTGAGTGAGTGAGTGAGTGAGTGAGTGAGTGTGGGAGTGAGTGAGTGAGTGAGTGAGTGTGTGAGTGAGTGAGTGAGTGAGTGAGTGAGTGAGTGAGTGTGTGAGTGAGTGAGTGAGTGAGTGAGTGAGTGAGTGAGTGAGTGAGTGAGTGAGTGAGTGTGTGAGTGAGTGAGTGAGTGAGTGAGTGAGTGTGTGAGTGAGTGAGTGAGTGTGTGTGTGTGTGAGTGAGTGAGTGAGTGAGTGAGTGAGTGAGTGAGTGAGTGTGTGAGTGAGTGTGTGTGTGAGTGAGTGAGTGAGTGTGAGTGAGTGAGTGAGTGAGTGAGTGAGTGAGTGAGTGAGTGAGTGAGTGAGTGAGTGAGTGAGTGAGTGAGTGAGTGAGGAGTGCGCGCGCGTGCGCATTGACGCGTCATCCTCCTTGATCGGACGTGAGGCCCCGGCGCGCCACACCTACACGTCAGACAGCGTGTCGTCGTGGCAGTGTCGTGGCACAGCCCGGCCCGGCCGTGACTCCACGACGCCCACGACGACGGCGCGACCGCCAAAAGGCTTTTACAATCCGAACCTTTGACGGCCGAGGCGATGCACATCGCACAGTGGGCCAGAAGACCGGTGGAGCGGCCAAAATTCTAGGCGCGTTTTGAGCTCCAGAGTCGCTAATTAGGACTGGAACTGAACGTGTGACCCCACCAATGGATTGCTCTCCGAACGAGGAATCCAATGGTGGGGTCACACGGTCGGTTTGTGTCCTATTAGCGACTCTGGAGCTCAAAACGCGTCTAGAATTTTGGCCGCTCCACCGGTCTTCTGGCCCACTGTGCATCGGCCTGCCTGCCCGCCTGTCCGTCTCCGGGCTGCCCGCTCGTTTTGCATAGCGAATTAAAACACTTAAACGCGCTGGGCGGGGCAGATAAGCGGCACGCACCGCGATAGCGCGGCCGTGTCGTGTTGCCCGCAGAGCAAACCCGTTCGCGCCGACACTAGGCAACACTACATTAATCGGAATTAAAAGCAGCGACGCCTTTCTGCGCGTTTGGATTGCGAAATGAGCAATGAGCAGCTCGGCCCGGCGTGGAGAGGCGGCGGCCGAGGCGGAGGCAGCTTACATTAAGCGCTCATTAAGACCTCCGAGGACGTAAGGCACGCCGGACGCAGCTATCTCGGGCCTTCGGGAAGTGTGCCGTGCTCGAGGACGCCAGGGATGGTTCAAAGAGGGTTTGGTTGACTTTGAGACTGGCTGCAACTCCACTACGAGACCACGGCCCCACGGCCTCTGCTTGCACCCACACTCACCATGGCTGAGGGCTATCCTGGCTCGCAGCGCGGCGGCGGCCTGCAGCTCCTGCTGCTCGCCGTGGTCCCGGTGGTGGTGATGGTGGTGGTGGTGGTCCTCGGGGATGTGCCATCTCAGCGCGTCGCCGGCCAGCCACAGCTTATCTGCACACCAAGGGGCGAAAAAGGCCGCTGTCAGTGTGTCCACCATGGCGACGACGGCGAGGTACACAGCACGTCCGCGACGAGGCCAACAAGCGCGCTCAGGAGGTCGAGGGCCTGCATGGGACGCAGCGGGGCGGCGCGGAGCAGGCGCGCGGCCAGCCGGCTTGCGTGGATCTGAGCTCCGCGTCGGCAGCGCATCGGCGGCGTCGGCAGCGCGTCCAAGGAGGAGGCTCTCCGCCGGCCGGCCCCCTCCCTTCCCTTCCCCTGCCGACGACACGAGCACGGCCAGCACGCCGACACGTGACCCGCAGCCAGCACGGCCTGCACCGCGTCCTGCGGCGCGTCCTCGCCGAGGGGGCGGGGTGGAAGGGGTGGGAGACGGAAAGGGTGGAGCGATTTTAGAGGCCGCGGAGGGGGCAGCGAATCACGATGGAATCAAATGGAAGGAACGAACGCGGCGTGGCACAGTGGGCCAGAAGACCGGTGGAGGCGGCCAAAACTCGAAACGCGTTTTGAGCTCCAGAGTCGCTAAATGGGACTCGAACCGAACATGTGACCCCACCAATGGATTGCTCTCCGAAAGAGGAATCCATTGGTGGGGTCACACGTTCGATTCGAGTCTCATTTAGCGACTCTGGAGCTCAAAACGCGTTTCGAGTTTTGGCCGCCTCCACCGGTCTTCTGGCCCACTGTGCGTGGCGCGGCGGGGGCGGCAGCAGAATGCATTGCGCGTCTTCAAGGAAGGCCGCCGCGCCGTCAAAGGACTCTGTGATCCGGACTCGTTTCGTTCGGTACCAAACCCATTTCAGTCTGTTTGCAATTCAAGTCAGTTCCACACACACACACACACACATACACACACACACACACACACACACACACACACACTAACACACACACTCACGGCCGTGCAGCAGCCGCCGCCCGCATCATGAAGGCCTCGACTCATTACTCCGCGGACAGGAGACTTGCACGCAGGGCGGCGCGGCGGCGCGGCGACAAGCTTCGTTACCGTGTTCCGTCCGCCGCTCCGCCGCTCCGCCGCGCCGCCGCCCGTCCGCGGAGATCCAATTCAAGATCAAGTATTCCGGGGCGGCGCCGACAGCGCGGGGCGGGGCCGGGCCAAGCCTGGCCAAGCCTGGCCGGCGTGCAAACTGCTGCAGCGCTGCAGTCCGATCATTATTGTATTTGGCCCGATCCGAATCGGGCGGCAGCGCGGCAGGCGCGGCGCGCGTGGCCTACACTGCAACAACACGCGCACGATCTCTCGGCCTCCTCATCCCGCTGGCTCGCGCGAAACAATACATCACCGGACAGGAATTAGAAACCAAACAACAACAACAAGGACAAGGAAGGAACAAAGAATCCGCGGAGTGAAAAATAGGCGGTGTGAGTGATGGCGGCATGGCCGGCGGTGCCGTGGCAGCCCATGTGGGACTCGGACGACTCGGGGGCAATCAGGCAGCCGCTCATCTCACACCTCGCAGCCAGCGGCAGCCAGCCACTGCGGGCTCCGTCGCGCTGTCCCTCTCCCACTCATGGGGCGCCCCGCAGCGCTGGGAGAGACAGAGAGAGACAGAGAAGCGTAACGGATGCAAGGCGGCCAGCGCGGCTAGGCAGGGCACTGCCAGGGCGGCCCGGTGCCGGCCATGCCCTGCACTTTATCAACACATCAGCTGCGGCGGACCGACCGGCATACAGACAGACAGACAGACAGACAGACAGCGGCAGGGCACCGGGCGCGCACCCATCGCGGACCTGACCTCTCAAAAAGCCCTCAGCCACTCGGACACTAAATCACTTCCCTCGCGCAACAAACGTCCCCCCATTGGCCAGCACGGCCAGCCGCTCGTCCGGCGCTTTTCAGACTCGTGCTCAGTAATTGTGTCATCTCCCACGAACGCCAAACACACACAGACGCACGCACCGACGCCACATTCTGACCTTTTCCATTATTGGGCCGCTTCAAAACGGAATGCATTTATCGCAACACACACACGCACGCACGCACACCGTTGCGAGAGCGCGACATTTCATGGCCAGCCCCATAAAATTTCGACCGACGAAACGTCACCAATGAAATTGGACGAAAAATGGAAGTTAATGACAAAAGGGCGACTGCTGAAGCGGTCAGGGCGGGGCGGGGCGGGCGGGGCGGGGCGGGGCGGGGCGGGGCGGGGCGGGGCGGGGCGGGGCCACAGCTGCCCTGCGGCCTGCGGCCAGCCCCCGGCTGCCCCACGGGTCAAGCCCGACACTCGGCAACTGATGAAAACATTACCGAATCGACGCTCCAAACGTCCAACGGCTGCCCCCTGCTCCTCGACCCCTTGATGGGCGGAAACAGCAGTTCCTGATTGCTTTCGAATACTCGGCCGATTCGGCGAGGCCCATTCCGAACGTTGCAGTCTCCGTCGCACTCGCGGGGCGTCCCGACCAGTCCCGACGGGGCGCGAGAGAGACAGACAGTCCGCAGCGCGTCGTTGGGTCCGGTCCGTCCCGGTCCGCCAGATGCCGGTGAGGCGGGCTGAGCCGGGCTGAGGCGGGCGCGGCGCTGCCGCCTTCAACGAGGCCTCCACGACGACAGGGACTTCATGAAGATAATCGGCTTCGAGGCGGGCGGGCCGCGCTGTCGCCGTCTCCTCCACCCTTTGCAGCGCCGCGCAGCGCTCCGCAGCCTCCAGCCTCCTCGAATCTGTCACAGACTTCATCAGGGACTTTTTGCAAAGCCAGCAACGCCCGCAGCGTAGAAGCATCGGCCCGCCCACCCCGTTATCATTCAAGTCCGAGCAGTGTCCAGCTGTCCGGGAGGGGTCGGGCTGGAGGCTGGCTGCCTGCCTGGCCGCCTGGAGGCTGCCCGGCTGGACAGGGCGCGGCTGGACCTCTAGCCTCGCGCAGCCCGGCGCAGCCTCGCAGCGGGAGGTGTCAAGCATCTGTCGCCCGATTGTCCAATTGTGCGATTGTCTCGGATTGTCCGGGATCGGCGGCGGCACGGCCCTCACAGTGTAGGCCGGCCCGTGTCCCCCACGTGCGAAGCACGCGACGAAGGGGTGCCGAAGGGCGAGGCGGGCCGGCAGCGCAGCGCAGCGCGCCCTTTCGGGGTTTATAAGGCGGAAAACCTCAGGTAAACTGTGCGCCTCTTCTTCGCCCTGACCACTGCGTCTGCTCTCTGCTCGCTCCGGTCGCGGATTCAACTCGGACGATGCGATGGCCCTGCGGTGCGGTGCGCTGCCGTGCCCGGTGTCCCGGTGTCAATGGGCAGGGCATCACTTTCCAACGAATCAATCCCCCGCGCACCGGGCCACAGTGGGCCAGAAGACCAGTGGAGGCGGCCAAAACTCTAGACGCGTTTTGGCTCCAGAGTCGCTAAAAAGGCCTCGAACCGAACATGTGACACCCCAATGGATTCCTCGTTCGGAGAGCAATCCATTGGTGGGGTCACACGTTCGGTTCGAGGCACATTTAGCGACTCTGGAGCTCAAAGCGCGTCCAGAGTTTTGGCGGCCTCCACCGGTCTTCTGGCCCACTGTGCGGGCCTCGCCTCCAGGCCTCGCGGGCCGTTCCGTGGGGGTGCGAGAGAGACAGCAGACGCGTAACGAGCTTTGCAAAGCGACGCGGCGGCGCGGCACCCTTTTCGGCCTTTCCCCAACACGATGCGGCCATCTCGCTCCTGCACGCCTCATGGGCCAATCGCGGCGGTAATCGGCCAAATCGCCACAGCGGCCCGGGTTCGAGTCCCGCCGCCGCCGCCGCCGCCGCCACGACGGCCAGGCTGCCGTGCCCAATCGCCAAACTGCGCGAGGCGCGCGAGGGGGTGGCCGGGCAACCCTTTGTCGCAACTTGCGGCTGCGAAACCCGTTTAGTTTAAAAAGCGCGCTGCAAACTGCACGGGTGCGCCACCCGCGCCGAGGCCGGCGCACAGTGGGCCAGAAGGCCGGCGCGGGCGGCCAAAACACTGGACGCGTTTTGGGCTCCAGAGTCGCTTAATGGGACTCGAACCGAGCGTGTGACCCCACCAATGGATTCCTCGTTCGGAGAGCATTCCATAGGTGGGGTCACACGTTCGGTTCGAGTCCCATCGAGCGACTCTGGAGCACGAACGCGTCCGAGATTTTGGCCGCCTCCACCGGTCTTCTGGCCCACTGTGCGGCGTCGTGGCGCGCGGCGCGGACACCGAGGCGGACACCCTCCCCGTCACCGCGACCCCCTCGGCACCGTCGGCACCCTCCAGCCTCCGCCACGTTCCGCGCACGAGCAGGCGGACAAAGCCACCTCCGTCTCCGAGCACCTCAGCCAACCGTCGCCAACCCTTGCTTTTACCTGCCCGCCAAAAACTTCAACGTTCCTTCTCGATCCTTCCCAAATAAAAAGAGAAACAGATTACGCCAAAGAAGGGGTGGCTGGGTGCCGCGTTGGTTGACCCAGGTCGGGAGTCGCGGCGTGCGGGTCTTGGATCCCTCGGATCTCGGCGACGGTTGGGACACGGACTCGGTGGCGCAACGGTCTCCTCGCGACTGCGACGCGACGATCAACGCGCCGCGGACCGTCCCCGAGTTTTTGGTTCATTTTTTGCGGTGCTGGCCGCGCCCTTCGAGCGCGTCAAGGTGCGCCGGGAGATTCCTAGAGTCATTTTTCGTCGCTCTGTCTACCGACGGGATGCTCCATGAGTGGGGGAGAGACAGAGCGACGCTGCCTTCTTTGCATCTCCGATTGGCGGGCCAATCAGGCAGCGCGCCAACCGGGCCGGGCCGCCACGCCACGCCACGCGTGCAGCGACATCGCGCAACCCCTCCCCTTCCTTCCTACCCTTTCGCTGTTGGTTTTTTTTTCTTTAGTTTAAAATAATAAAGGAAGCCGAAAAAGGGGTTGTGTGCGCGACGCATCCGCTTTAGCACGTGCTGGTGCCCAGGCTGCCGAGGCTGCCCAGGCCAAGAAATATGGACGAGCGAGGGGAGGGCGGGGGTCTCAAATCGACATTTATTGAGTAGGGTGGGGTTATTGCA